ACGCCCCACGCCAGCAACGGTCAGTGTTGCCTGGCGTGTCTCGCCCTTCCCTCTCCTCGACAGCAAGCAGCGCGTGACAGAACCGTTCTGTCACACGTACATCCTCAAGCTCTCGGCGCACTCCGTTCCCAGCCTCACCAGCTGGAAGACCCGCGCGTGTGCACGTCGCGCGCGGGTGTACGACACACACAGCACAGTCCGGAACCTCACCCGGCTGTTGCTCACCATTGGTCGTTCCAGCGCATACGCTGAAGACTCGCGCGTGCAAGTATAAACAACTCCTCCGTGTCTTGCACACAGTCGTATCGACCCCCCCCCTCCCCTCTTCACCGCTGCTCATATCGCTCACCCGACCGCTCACTCTGGGCAGACCTCTCGACGGTCGACAGCTCCCGTGGTGCAGCCGAGCGATCGTTGCCCCCGGTTGACGACCAGGAACACCCTCGTGTGGTGGCCACCGTGCAATACGGTGAGCTTGCACGACTGGCAACTCTTTGCCAACGTCCTGCCTGCTGGCCGCATGCGCGCGCCAGCGAGCCCCTCCATTGCGCCTGTTGGCGTTGTGGGCGTAGCTTGTCCTGGTTGAGCCCTGCCGGCTCCTTGTGACGCGCGCCTTCAATGCCTGCAGGTGCATCTGAGAGGCGGCCCGCTGGTCGCCAAAAGCAGAGCGCCGTGCTCACTTTGAGTCGGCGCTCACCATTGCCAGACATTCCTCGTCTGGTCGCGGTGCCTCCATCTCCAACGCCGCGTCCTTTTGCGTACGCCGCCAGCAGTGCCTCCGCCGTCCACGCCTCCGCCACCAGCCTCTCCGCCCGCGGCCACTCAGACCCCGCCTCTGCAGCCGCCCAGCCCCAGCCCCCGCCGTCTGCCCATCACCACCTCGCTCGCTCGCCCTCAAGACCTGCTGTGGCTGCGCGCGCACCTCCAGCGCGCGCCGGGTGGCTATTTGGGATCAGCCACCCAGCAGCCACCCCCCCCCGGGTGGCTTCTAATCATCAGCCACCCCTCAGCCACCCAGGGTGGTTGGTAGGTGGCTGCTCCTCGCCAGCTACCGTTTTGTTAGGATATGTTTCTGGACACCATAAATCTGTCCTCCGAGTCATGCTCCTAGAAAGGGGAGTGGCACGACTTCTCCCCTGCTGGACAAAGGGCGGGGGTCGCTCACGACGCATGACATGCACATGCCCCGGTTCGTGGTTCATGCATGTGTAGGCAGCAAATCATTACTTGGCTCACGCTTTTCTCCTTGACATGCCCAGGTTCTCATATTTGGCAGCAAGCATGAAGACCCTGGCGCTCCTCTGAGCTGGAACGGCATATGGGTCTGGAATCACTCGTGCATATCATTTCGCACCAGATGCGAGCCTGGCTTTGGCGACAGATCGCGTGACGCGACGCATGCATGAGGGACGTGCGCCGATATGGCCATCCAGCCTCCACCTTTTTCGAAGACTTTTGCGATTTTTCATGGGAGCGGATCGGAGACGAGGAAAGAAGGAGTCCGTCCTCGGGCGTTTCTTGCAGACCTCTTTCCATCTTGTGCGACCTTGGCACCATATCAGCTCTCGCGCTCTCGTCGCATCAGCAGCAAAAGCAACACCAGCGTCGCGAAAGACTCGTCAGGATGTCGTCGCTGGATGGACATCAGCCTCTTCGACAGCTGGATGCTGCGCTCGACGTGCATCCGGCCATCATCACCGCGCTGATTCGGCGGGTGAAATCGCTCGTGGCTCGGCTCATTGATCGCGACGTCGACGAAGAGCGAGTGCGAGGAGCCGAGGGCCTCATCTCGGACAAGACCATCTCGGCCTTCCACGAGCTTGGCGGCGACTTTGGCGATGCTGTCCCCTACGCGTTGCTGGAAGCTCGCGTGGAGTTTGAAGAGGATGCCGAGAAGCAGCCGCTGGACCACGGCCTGAACCGCAAGCGTGCGATCGCATGCGAAGTGCTCGTACAGCGGCTGGTGGCGCACATTGAGCGTAGCTCGATCGACTCGGCGTCCTCGAGTGTCGGAAGCTACCACCTCTGCTTAACGAAGAAATTTCGGCGCTTCGAGAGCGACGGAGATGTGACGCTGCCCACATCCGCTCTGGAAGCTGCGATCGATCAGAACTGCGTGCCCGTGCTGGCATCCATCGAGGCGCGACGAGCGACGCAGGCCATCTGGGATGGAACGCTGGTGCAAAAGTACTCGGCGGGCGGATACACCTACTTCGAGCCCTACGACAAGAAGGAGGACGGTGCATTCCTGTCGCACTTCCATCCGTCGCGCTTGGGCGTACCCAAGTACTCGTACATCACCAACATTGTACTCTGGATCTTCTTCCTCGCCATCTTTACGGTGCAGACGAGGACGTTCAAGTCGTTCGACGTGTTCGAAGCGATCCTGTGGATCATGGCGGCGGGCTACTTGGTGGAAGATGCGTCGCGCTGGGTCAAGATGGGAGGGCTTGGCGCGGTCGAGTTCTGGACCGTGATGGACCTCTTCACGGACGGACTGCTTATGGTCTCGTTCTGCTTCCGCGTGGCGAGCTTTGTGTCGCACGGCAAGCGCTCCGACTCGTACGAGCTGCGAGCGTTTCAGTTCCTGGCGTGCGTGGCACCGCTGATCTGGGTGCAGCTGCTCAAGGTGTTTGACGGCTTTGTGTACTTTGGCACGCTGACGGTGATCATCCTGCGCATGTTCAAAGAGAGTGCGATCTTCTTTACGCTGCTCGCGTTGGTCATGGTCGGGTTCGGACATGCGTTCCTGGCGCTCGACGCTGCGGACGAGTCGACGGTGGACAATGTGGTGGTCAAGATCATTGATGTGCTGACGCAGTCACTGCTAGGCGGGGCGGATTTCGAACTGACGAACGAGGATGCGTTTGGATACCCGTACGGCCACATTCTGTACTACGCCTACTGCTTTGTGACGGCGGTGATTCTGCTCAACATCCTCATCGCCTTCTTCGGTACGGCGTACAGCGACGTAGTGGACTCGGCGGACGAGGTGTACGCGGCCTTCTTTTGCCAAAAGGTGGTTGCGATGGTGCGAGCGCCGGACCAGTTTGTCTATGCGGCGCCGTTCAATCTGCTCGAGGCGTTTGTGATTGCGCCGCTGGAGTGGGTGCTGCCACACGAGACGTACGCCAAGCTGAACCACAGTGTGCAGTCGGTGCTGTTTGCGCTGCCGCTCATGTGCATCGCCTTCTACGAAAGCAGGGCGGCTCGCAACGGCGGCTCGATCCGGCTGCCGCTGCTCGAGGCCGAGGAGAACGATCCGACGAGCTCGATGCTCGAGGGGACGCAGGAGGATCCGATTGTTCCCGAGCTGGAAGGCAGTGGAGGCATGCAGATTTCGCGAACCAAGTTTGACGAGATTGTCGGGATGATGAAACAGCAGTGACAACGGCCGCTGCGGACCATGTACGGGCAAATGCCTACAATACTAGCGAGACAATACAATGTTGGAATTGCATAGAGGCAGACTGAACGCGTGTGCATGCGGCTGGACAAGAGGGAAAACGGATGCGGATGGTATCACTTTGCGTACAAGGCTGTCCACTGTCTGCTGACCTCGATGGCTCTGTAGGGCGGAGTGGGAAAGGGTGTTAGCTCTGCGTATACGAGTGGGGAGGTGCGCGGTGGATGAAGGAGGATACTCACCCCTTTTCGTCCTTCTTGTAGTGTTCGGCGACGTCGTTCGCGAGCGGGTCGTCCGGGTTTGGTGCGGAGAGCAGTGCTTGGACGGAGAGGAGGACGGTGCGGATCTGGAGCGCTGGGGACCACTTGTCTTTGAGGATGTCGAGACAGATGCGGCCGAGCTTGTCGATGTTGGGGTGGTAAATCTTGGTAAGGAAGCGCACCTTTGGCGCGGACATGGGGTATTCCTCGGGCAGGAAGAGCTCGAGACGGAAGACGCCGCCTGAATGCAGGGAGGCAGGGATGCAGGGATGCAGGGATGCAAGGATCGGATACTGTCAGCTGCGGCAGCCAGGTGGGATGGAGGCGAGCGGTAGGTCAAGCAACGTACCTTCGAAGGGGCTCTGTGTGGGACCAGAGATGACGACGTCAAAGTATCGGAGGTTGTCCTCGTGCGGGGTTGCGCTGATGCCTGGAGCGGGATCGGCGATGAGACGTTCGGTCTCCTGAGTAGGTGCGTGCCACAAGAAGAGGAGACAAGTCAGTGCAAGACAGCAGCGGAAGAGCGACGAAGACGGCGACGTACCTTGATGATTCGTTTGGGCAACGACATGGCGAAGGAGGCAGCCAAGCTGAGCCAAGCTGGAGAGTTGGGAAGCGATGGTGGAGGAGATGAGGCGAGCGGGAAGGAGTGCCGCTGTCGACTCGGCTCGGCACGGCACTCCACAATTTGGCTGCGAGGCGGGATTGTGTGATTGTGGACGGTGCGCCGACTGCACTACTGAGCCGCCGCAATCGATTCCATTCACGTTCCCACGCGTCGCTCGCTCCCCAAAATCACAAATTGTGTGATCGAACGCGGTCGACATTTTTGGGATTCGAAAATCGAGGCTCAGCCGCTCAGCCACGGACGAGTAAAGAGTCGAGCGAGCTTGGGCCAACAACGCGGCGTGATGCAATCACCTCAACCAGGGCAGTGCTGCACCCACACACGCCTCGCCTCCACCATCGTCCATCACCATCCGTCACTGCTACCAAATTCGGAGCGCATCACCTCCTCACCTCGTCGCCTCCGGTAGCCAGTCTCCGCCGCAAGACGCATTCGACTCGTCGCATCCACCGCATGCTCCCACAGCGTCATCCGCACCGCAACCTCTCTTCCGACGCATCCCACAAAGCCTCTTCGTCCGACCCCGCCGCACGCCTCTACGCAGCCCGCTTGGTGTTCGCCGCTAGCATAGCGCTTCTTCTGCTCGCCCTCGTCCCCATCTGCATCCCTACTTCCTCTGCTGCCGCCGCCGCAACATCGCCTCGACCCATCTACCTCCACTTCCCCTACAGCTGCATCTTCTTTGCACCGCTCCTCATCCCCCTCACCACCTATCTCGTCATCGCGCGCTGGACCGGCGAAAAGCACTACCGCCATTCGTGAACCATGCCGTCCTCCTCCACAATCTCCTCTTCGGACAAGTCCAAGGTCAAGTCCGCCATCCCTTCCTCCAACAACAAGATCATCACCGCAACCGTAGGCCGCGTCTATGCTGCCCATCCAAACCCATCCCAGTGGAGCTACGCTGGCGTAGAGGGCGCCATCGCTTTCGTCCGCGACCTCTCCAAGGCAACCTTCTACTTCAAGATCGTCGACCTCAAGGGCACCCGCGGCGTCATCTGGGAACACGAACTCTACGATGGCTTCCAGTACAACCAGGACCGCACCTTCTTCCACTCTTTCGAGGGCGACTCCTGCTTGATCGGCTTCTCCTTCGCAGACGAGTCCGAAGCCAACGAACTCTTCAAAAAGGTCTCAAACCGTTCCAAGTACGCAAAGTCAAAGTCCTCCTCCTCCTCCTCCTCCTCCAAAAAGAAGAAGGCATCCTCCGGCGGAAAGATCGACAAGTCCATGATCGGTGCTCCATCCGGCTTCAAGCACGTCGCCCACATGGGCTTCTCCGCAGAGCACGGCTTCAGCTCCGAAAACGTCGATCCCACATGGCAGGCGCTCCTCGAACAGCTCGGAAGCCTCGGCATCAGCGAGAAAGACATTCGTCAGAACGAGAGCTTCATCAAGGACTTTGTCGGCAAACGCGGAGGGCCCGGCGCCGCTGCCAAACCCGCTCCTCCTGCCGCTCCCAAAGCTAAAAAGGTGCCTCCCCCGGCTCCCACCAGCAAGCGCAAAGCGCCTCCTCCTCCTCCCGCACCAAGGTCTCGCCACGCTGCCACCGCCTCCTCCGCCTCGGCCTCCAACGCCCCTCCTCCGCCACCTCCACCGCGTTCGGGAGCTGCTGCAGCCGCCGCTCCACCCCCGCCTCCGCCTCCGCCTCCCGCCAGGGGCGCCGCCGCCTCCAGCGCTCCTCCTCCGCCGCCCCCTCCTCCTGCGCGTCCCGCAGCCGGTGGCAGTGCCCCGCCGCCCCCACCACCCCCACCGCCCATGGGAGGCGGTGCTCCACCTCCTCCACCTCCGCCTCCACCCGCTGGCGCGTCTGCGCCCATGCCGCCTCCTCAGGACGGTCGAGGTGCGCTTCTCGCTTCCATCCAGGGCAAAAGCGTGCACAACCTCAAAAAGACCGACGCAAACGCGCCTCCGCCGCCCGGCAGAGCCGCCGCTGTTGGCGCTGCCGCCGGCGCTGTCGCAGGCGGTGCCGTCGCCTCGTCCGGCGCAGACTCACCCGGCGCTGGCGGAGGTGATGGCGACCTTGCCAGCGCTCTCGCCGCTGCTCTCAGCCAGCGCAAGGAGAACATGGGCGATTCCGACGAAGAGGGTTCCGACGACGACTGGTAGTCTTCTAAAGCGTCATCGTGCTTCCCGTCGAATGCACCTCACCCGATCGCACAGCAATTCAAATCTTATGCATCTTCGCCATTCATCGTGTCAAAAAATCTACGAGGGCTGTGTCTTGGTTCAGTTGACGCTCACAGTGCGCGAAGCTGCGACAGCATCGTGCGCATCCGAGTGAGGCTGCTTGTCTGTTCGACCAGACGCTGCCGATGCCTGCGCGCTAATACCAAGCTTGTTTCTCTCCAGCGCCTGTCGGATGAACTCGGCTCCGGTGATGGGCGGATACTTCTTTTTGGGTCCTTGGATCACCACATCGCTGCGCGCCTGGTTGAAGAAGGCCATCGAGTATCGTGGGCCCGTGGGTTCGCCCTTGTTGGGCAGTCGGACGCGATGGAATGTCGACTTGAGCCGGTCATCGGACCATCGCATAAGCTGGTCTCCGATGTTGCACACAATGCGGTCGCTGCGTGCTTCGACGTTGGTCCACGTGTTTCCGTGTCCAAAGTCGCCCACCACCTCTCTTCCGGGACACACCTCTAGTCCACCTTCGCCATCGCGTTGGAAGAGCATGGTGAGCACGTCGAAATCGGCATGGCTGCCAGCTCGCCAAAAGTTGTTGCCAAACTCCTTGCCTTCGACGCTGTGATAGTGCAGCAGTCGCAACGTCGACTGCGAATCTCCTACACCCGGATCAACAGTGCCATTGGTGAAAGTGTCCAACGGCAGACCGAGTCCTTCGGCGAAGCATTCCATCACCTTGACCGAAAGCTGCTGCACGGTCGACATGAAGCTCTCTGCCCTTGCGCGGAAGCCCGACAAGTCGTCGTCCGAGGGCCACATTCCTTGCATGCGCGCAAACTGCAGCTGCATCGACTCCTTCTGATCAGCCGTACCCGTCGACGGCCGGATCTGAGCTCCCTTCTCCCACCCCATGTTCTTGCCGTTGAGCGGCGTCTTGGACTTGACCTCGTCTGGCAGCGCGAAAAACTGCTGCGAGAGCGCAAACGCATCCTGAATCTGCTCCGCCGAAACGCCGTGGTTCTCCAGAGTGCTGGCAAACACGAAGCAAGACCGAGACGGTCAGTCAAGAGTCTAGCTGTGCTGATTAAGTCGAGGGAGAAGAAGCTTACAAGAATCCGATTCGCGTGCTGGCATCCATGAGCTGCTCAATGATCTCGGCACGACGTTCGGTGAAATCGTGCAACGAGATGCACGGCACCGCACTTTGGTCGTCTGTAATGAAGCTCGTCATGTTCTCTTGTGATGTTTGTAGGGACGAGAGTGATGAGGGGGAGCGAGAGGGATGCGCCCGACCGGGATCTTATAAGCTTGTGAGCCACAAGTAGGTGCCCCACCAAGCGTGCGCCTTAGCTACAAGGTCAATGGAGGCCGAGGTCGAGGCAGTGAGAAACCTCGAGCTGGCTAGCAAGAAGTCAGCAAGGTGCTCGTGGCTAGCCATGGCTTGTCAGCGGCAACTGACCCGAACGCCTTGTCGAACGAGGCATCACAGTCTCGTTTCTTCGAGTCGCGCCTGTGCAAATCAACGGGCTCGCAGAAAGCCGAATCCAGCAAGGTAGTGCAGAAGTATGGAGGCGCACGGCGTGATAAGATAACAAAATGCGCGGGGAGCGCGGATTCACCGCGGCATTTCCAAGTCCTTCCGGGACGGCTGACACCCCGCCCCACTCATGCATGCTATGCATGGCAAGCAGACGACACCTTTTGGCAACTCAAGTCACCGGCAACCACCGTAAGCTTTCCCTCTGGCATTTGCGCGGATGGCTTTCCCCTTACACAAAGCTTGTTGACGCCGTCTACTTCTTGACCACCAACTCGTTTTACCACTCTCTGCAAACACCTCCTGTCCAGTCCATCACCATGCTGCTGTCCTCGATCATTACCAGCTTGGCCTTGGCGGCCCAGGCAAGCGCATACCGCGAAGGTCTCCATCCCGAATTCCAGTCTGGCCTGTCGATCAACTCGGTGCCCGCGACGGATCGTGATCACTGGATGCGGCTTGCCAATTCGGCCATCTACTACCCTCCCGTCTCCCATCCGTGCCCACAAGCGCCGTTTGGCACGGCGATCGTCAACACGACGTCTAACGAGCTGATCTGCGCGATTGCCAACCGTGTCGGATCGACGGGCGATCCCACGCAGCATGGCGAAATCACCGCCATCCAACACTGCACAAATGTGATGCGCAAGAAGGGACTCAGCCCACAGGAAATCATTGCCGCATGGAAGCAGTTGAGCTTGTATACCAACGCCGAGCCATGCACCATGTGCTTGAGCGCCATCAGATGGGCGGGCTTCAAGGAGGTCATCTACGGCACCAGCGTCGGAACTATCTCTGAAAGTAGGTTGCAAATGGGCTCTCTTTTCAGATCGGGATTGCATGCTGACGGTCTTGTTCTGGCGGGTACAGACGGAAGGAACCAGATCTACATTCCTTCCAACTTGGTTTTGGAGAAGAGCTACTCCTTCGGCCATGCCACTTTGATGTGAGTAGCCACGGTACCGGCATCCAGGCTTTCACGAATCTGACTCTTCTCGCGTTCTGCAGGCTTGGAAACATCCTCACACACGAGACGGATCCGTTCTTCCAGCACCAGTTCAACGAGTCTGCTCCTTGCCGTAAGACGCCCCTGAATCTCTAATACGCCATCCAAAGCATTTCAAGACTGACACTTGCCTTTGATCTTCGTCTGCGCCAATGCACTTGCAGCGGTGGGCTGCGAGAGGACGCAAGTGGGCGAAGCTCGGGTCAAGACGTGCGAGCCAGTTCCCAACTGGCAGAAGCTTGTACGCCTCGAGTACTCGGAGGACAGCCGCGTGGGATCCGAGCCTGTCGCCCACACGCCACTTCACCTCGAGCTGTAACACAACACTCTGCATGATTTCGTTCAATGTGTCATTTCGTTCAATGTGAAAGCCCAAAATGCAAGTCCAGGATCGTGTGGTCCGTCATGAGTGGTAGCAGACATTCGCCCTTGTCGTCTGAGCTCGTCTTCCCGCTTTGGAGGATGAAAGTGAGTGCGGAGCCTCCATTCAGCGGTAGCATCACCGGAGATGGCCGCGGTAAGGCCAGGAGGCACGGCCGAGATCCCAGGTAGCCCTGTGTCGGCGGCTACTGGCTGGACTTTGGGCCAAGGTCAGCGTGGGGAACCGGGCCGTTGGGTCTAGGCCAGGCGGAAACCCGGCCGTTGACCCCTCGGATTCACCGCGGGGGCTCGCGAGCAGGCAGCAAGGTGCTGAGATAGCGGACATGACCAGGGCGGAAGAATTGAAGTCCCGAGCGCTTCTGGTCGCAGCCAATTGCCACGTGTGCGATAACGGCAAGCCTCATTTGGCTTCTTATCAGCGGCCATTTTTGACAGCCGCGAGGACGCGCGTCAAAGCCCGTCCCGAGCCTTGAAATTGATGAAGTCTCAGCAATCCCCCACACAAGACAGGCGGTCAGGAACACGAGTCCCCCTTCCACTCCCTGGTCTTCGAATCTTCGGGTTGCAAGCCTGGTGGACCAGCCACATGGCACCAAAGGGGAAAGCGACCTTCGTTATCTCTGCCCCCTTCCACTTCAAGTCCCCTCGTTATCGCTTCCCCGCCTTGTTCTCGGCGCCCGCAAAGCAGCGTGCCCGGCAGTCTGAGGCCTGCATGCTCCTCATGCTGAACGTGATCTCGGTCTTCTCCGGACTCTCAGAGCGGAGCTCGGTCAATGCTAAGACTGTCACACGCTCATACAGGACGACGCAGGTACTGAGCTGTCAGAAGAAGCGGGCAAGCGTAGCGTCTCGGGTGTGCACGCGACCGTGTGGCGGCTAGCCATGTGTTGGTGCATATGCGAGCGCGCTTGCATGACATCTCTCGGTGTCAATCCTCGAGCGAGCCGATAGTTGTCCAGATTGTATAAGAACATCACCAAAACACCCTTCCACCGTCTGTGCTTGTTCATCCTCCTTCATAACTCCAATTCAACCTATACCCCCCTCGCTTCCTCTCTTTATCCCGCAAAAACGACTACGATGGAGGCCAAGCCTGCTGTCACCGTCGACGAGGGCTCGCTGGCTACTCTGCCTGATCCTCCTGCCCGTTCCTTTGTGGGCAAGGTCAAGCGCGGCGTACGCGCGCTCGGCACTAGAGACGCTTGGTTCGGCGACCACAATTATGTTGCACTCTTCACCCCGACCGTTCCGTTCCTGTGCAAAGCCGACACGACCAGTTTGCCTTTCTACTCCGTCAACGCACGCCTCCCCATCTTTCTCGCATGTATTTTGGGCGTTCAGCATTTTTTAGCAATGGCCGGTGGAGTTGTTACCCCTCCTTTGCTGATCGGTGGCTCGAGCGGCGCCAACTTGGGACAGGAGGACACGCAGTTCCTCATCGCATCGACCCTAATCTGGTGCGCGTTCGGAACGGCACTCCAGGTCTCGCGCAACCGCATCTTCAAGACAAAGTACTACATCGGCACGGGCATCATCAGCGTCACAGGCGCTAGTTTCGCCACCATCTCAATCGCGCTCTCGTTCTTTGCACAGAGCTATGCTAACGGATACTGCCCTACGGGCGCCAATGGTGTCAAGCTGCCGTGCCCGCAGGCAGTGGGTGCGTTTTTGGGCACCTGCTGTCTCTGTGGCTTGATCTCAATCGCTATGGCCTTCATCCCCCCCAAGGCCATCCGAAAGCTCTTTCCCCCGCTCATCGTTGGTATGATGCTCACGCTGATCGGCGCTTCGCTCGTCAAGTCGGGCATCACCAACTGGGCAGGTGGCTCGGCTCCGTGTGCTACCAACCACGCCATCAAGTGCAAGATCGGAAGCCGAATGCAATTCTGGGGCTCAGCGCCGCTCATCGGACTTGGCTTCACCAGTTTCTTCACCATCATCCTATGCGAGATCTTTGGCAGCCCCTTCCTCAAGTCGGCATCCGTATTCGTCGGTCTCGTGGTCGGAATGATCGTTGCCGCAGCTACGGGCTACTTCAACACGACGCTCATGCACAATGCTCCCGCAGGCTCGTTCCTGTGGACAAAAACGTTCCCCCTCTCGATCAAGCCCGAGCTCATCCTCCCGCTTCTCGCTGCCTACGTCGTCATCGTCGCCGAGACCGTCGGCAATGTCACTGCCTCTTGCGATGCATCTCGCCTTCCAATGGACGGCACCGAATTCGAGTCGCGCATTCAGGGCGGCATGCTGGCGGATTCGATCTCTGCCACCCTTGCAGGTCTCGCCATGGTGCCTCCCCTCACCACCTTCTCGCAGAACTCGGGCGTGATTTCGCTCACGCGCAATGCATCGCGAACTGCAGGCTACATCTGCGCTGCCATGCTCTTCCTCGCGGGTATCGTCGGCAAATTCTCCTCCCTCTTCGTTGCCATGCCCTCGAGCGTGCTTGGCGGATTCACCACTTTCCTCTTTGGCTCGGTTGCCGTGGCCGGTATCCGAATTATGGCGTACGCCAAATGGGACCGACGCGCGCGCTTCATTGCCACGAGCGGCATGAGTCTGGGTCTGGCCAGTCTCACCGTGCCGAGCTGGTTCTCGTACTTCTTCACTTACTCCGGTAGCAATGCCGGACTCAAAGGTCTGATTCAGGCCATCGTGCTCATCGTCGAAGAGCCCTACCTCATCTCGAGTCTGCTGGCGATCCTGCTCAACACGATCCTCCCCGCAGAGCCCGAAGACGAGCAGGCGTCGCAATTGCTCGAAGACGACGCGGCCTCCAACAGTGGATCTGACGTCAAGATCGACTCGGATCAGCCGGCTGCCGAGGTGCCGGACTTGGAGAGCGGTGCTCCAGCCACAGAGGCTGCCAAGAAGGCATGGAACCAACCCGGAACTTTCTTTGGCCGAAAATAGGCGCACAATCGCTCCTTTGTCAATGTCCACACTAGAATGAATACCATTGTACACGAAGCATAGCATGCGACTGTTTAAAATGTGCATGCGGCGACCGTGTGTATCAGTCGAATCGCTCGTCGGTAATAAGCTCGACGTCGCACGACTGGTTGCCCTTGAGTACTTTGCTCGGCGAGTTTGCGGCAGCCACAATGGACCGTGCCTGGCACGTCATCGAATCGGGACCACTGACGTACACCTTTGTCGCGCCGTTGTCGGTCTCTTGCAGGAAGGTTGGGATTACATCCTCCAGAGAAGGACGCGCATAATCAGCGATGCACTGCAAGAGGATTGGATCGATGCTAGCGCCTTTTGCGTCGACTGCCCCGTCCAACGACGACGAGACGTCTTCACCTGGAAGCGAAGAAGAATCCGACTGGCTCTTCTCAATCGATCCATGGCTTGTCGACTGTGAGCTGGTCTGTGCGGACCCCGTGACAAAGATGCGCACCGACATCGTTGGCGCGAGCTTGAGCAAGGCCAAAAGTTCATCTTGAATCCAAGCGATATCTTGACGACGCTTGACTGCCCAAATGAGCTCTACTTTGCGGTGCGCGTACAGCGGGTCGCGAGAAATGGCGGTCAGAACAGGTAGGGTGAACGTGACGCCAGTTCCACCCGAGACGCATAGGACGTTAGCTGCCGTCAGCTGCTTGGTGTCGAGCACCTCGCCACCGTACGGCCCCGATAGGATGACACCTGTCGAATCGGTACCTGCAGCCTTGAGCCGCAGCTTTGCTGCCAGCTTCTTGGTCTCGCCTCCCTTTGCTCGGATGAGGTACGAATGCTTGATGCGCTGGTTGACGGACGCGGGCGTGCTGAGAGGTGTGAAGGGATGCGACTGCCAGATGCTCGTCTCTGTGAAGGTGAGGAAAAAGTGCTGCCCGACCTTCCACCCATCGCCACTGTGTGGAATCTCGAAGTCGAGTCTCACCACATCGCCATGCTGTGCATCGTCGAAGACTTGGAATGAGCTGCGAATGGTGCTGAATCCGACCGATCCGTCTTGGAGCACGCCGTAATGGATGCAAGCAGTCCTCAGCAGCCGAAGTGCGCGATCGACACCCCACAGGAGCAAAGATGGCAACAAAAAGACCTTGAGGTGTTGCCAGTGGCCCCAGCATGCACCGATGAAGAGCATGGCGAGCACATAATGCGCCTTGCGGAAGAACTCGTATCCAAGTCGGCGGCGACACCAGGGTGTGGAGAGCACCCAGAGTGCCAGAAGTGCCGTCATTGCCACGATACCCCAGATGAGGTACGTCTCCTGGACCAGTTGCAGCGCTTTGGCTGGCTGTGGCTGGTAGAGCCTGATTTCGATGATGCACCAACCGATGGTGTGGATGGCCGACTGAGCAAAGATGATGTGCCCGACCCAGCGATGGAGGAAGTTGAAATGGTGGTACGGCAAGCCCGTGCAGACGGAGAGCAGCGACTCGCGACTAGCCAGCAGGATCGACAACGGCGTAAGCGCGAACGCCAGCACACCTACGCGATCTGCGAAAGGTCCCAGAGTGGATCGGATGGTGTTCTTGCTGCTGCCCTTGGTGGGAACCGACCATGAGCGATACGTCATCCCAACAAAGGAGAAGATGAGCATGTACGCAGAGATGATAGCCAGCACGACGACTTGTGTCCTTGTCACCCTATTGAAGAAGTAGACGCCTTTGCAGTTGGGCAAAAGGTAAGATCGGAATGCGGCCGTGGTGGCCTTGGACGCTTTCTGGAAGGTGGACTGTGGAGACGCGACACTGTCGCCCGCCTGCTCTTTATCGGCCTTTGGGATGGGGGCACCCTGGAGAGATCGGCGACACCACCTAGCAATAGCCCAAATGAACAGGATGGCGAAGATGAGTAGCCAAAAGACGGCGGCGTAGATCATGCCTCTGTCGTGGGCGCTGTAAACGAGATCGAGATACGCGCACACGGCAGCGCCACTAGAACAGGGCAGCGCTCGGTCGAGATAGCCCCAGTGCGGCTGCAGTACCGCAGCCTCGGAGAAGTTTTGAGCATGACGTGCCACAAGGTTGGGCGCTTGCCGGGTGATGGCGTCGAACGACATCTTGATCTATCGAGGCCCCGCACGAAGGAGGCTGGTGTTTCGGCGGAGGGACGGGGCTCTTGAGAGCAGCTATCGTGCTCCAGCTTTATTAACTCTTGCTTCGTTGGGTGGTGGCAAACAAAGTAAGAGGGCTCAGAATCTGTGAAGCTTTGTTGTAGCGGTACTTGCAACGCCAAGAAGCGTTTGCCTGACGGTTCCATGCTGAGCAGTCGACATGATTCGTTCGGATCCTTCCTGTGCAAGCGTTATCCCACACCATTGTTCCCTTGCCGAGACCGACAGCAAAGCTCGTCTTGTAACGCGCCACGTTCCGAGCGTGAGACTCGGAGCCTTTGCCAAACGAGCGACGTCGTGGAAAAAAAAAGGCTCCGAGGGGATGGTGTCGAGGAGCTCCAGGGCCGCCTCGCTTGCTAGACGAGGCCCAAACCAGAAATTCGGTAGCGCAGTAGAGCTCAGGGTCCGTGAGCTGTCAGAAACACGCCATGGAACAGTGCGGTTGAGGTGCGCGAGGAAGGGGAAAACGCTCCGAGTCGGGACGAGCCAGACTTCTTGGCATCAGGCCGAAAGGCGCCGGTCGCCTCCGTAGCCTCGACTGTGCCTTGGTGTTGAAAGGCTTGAGCGCGGGTACGGACAGTGGGAGTGCATGGAACGAAAAGTGGCGAATGCTGCGTGCACCAACGGAAAGCTACAATCAAGCTTGTTTCGCTGCACTAAACTCGCCGGTCGTTGTCGAGCAACCAAACAGAGGCAACTATATACCCAATAGCGACACCACGAGACTTTTGCGCTTCGTCTCTTGCCACCATCGTAAACTCGTCACGTCTCGCCCGCTCGATTCGCGGCCTCATCTCATCACTTGGACTTCGCCCCGATCGACAGATTCGAATCATGAATCACTCCGGCATGGGAGGCATGGACGGCGGCATGGGGGGTGCTTCATGCAAAATCTCGATGCTGTGGAACTGGTACACCATCGATGCCTGTAGGTATCACTCGAATCGTCTTGCGCTTCTCCCGACATCCAACTCACCTTGACCTTTCTTTTGCCAGGCTTCCTCTCCTCGTCATGGCACGTGACGACCAAAGCCACGTTTGCGGTGTCGTGCATCGGCGTCGTGCTGATGGTCGTGTGCCTCGAAGCGCTCCGCCGTGCCGGTGTCGAGTTCGACAAGGCGTTATCGCGCCAGCTGCTGCAGCGCAAGCTCGTGCTCGAGTCGGACCTGCCTCCCGAAGCCACGACCCGTCAGGTGGTGATCCGCGTCACGCCGCTGCAGCAGCTGGCACGCGCCGTGCTGCACGCCGTCACGTTCGGGCTGGCGTACATCATCATGCTGCTCGCCATGTACTTCAACGGCTACATCATCCTCTCCATCATCCTCGGCGCGGGCATCGGCAAGTTCGTCTGCGACTGGAAGCTCGCCACCTTCACGCTCAATGCCGACACGTGCGATCGGGCGAGTCGCACCAGCTCGGCACAGTGCCCATCGACGCAGACCAAGCTCAACGCGCTGCTGCAACAAGACGCAGATGCTCCGGGCGCACGCTCGCACACGGTGTGTTGCGAATGAAGTTGGCATTAGAAATACAGATGGGTATGAATCCGCTGGTGATTGTGACACCTTGTGCTTAGAAGCAGAGGTACTGGCTTGCTCTGCCGACAAATGCTTTTGCCTTCTGCTTCTTATCGACCGGCTCCGCGCTCGTGCTCTTCTCCTCCTCGCTAGGCTCCTCGTCGTCCGCCTCTTCGTCGTCTTCGACCAGCACGGGCAGCTGGTCGCCCGCACCGTCGCGGATGAGGTCTCGCCTCCTTCGCCTCAGATCCTTTTCGTACTGCACCGTGTCTGTGTACAGATCTATCTCTTCGATGGGCACGAGCTTGGTGCGCTTCCAGAGCTTCCAGCCCCCGTAGGCCACGACGAAGAAGCCGATCTCGATGTAGTACGAGAAAAAGTCCGACACGTTGAACGGTCGGAAGGCCGTCCAACCCTGGACGAGGATCATGAGCACCGAGGCGATGACTACGACGTACGGGCCCCAGGGCTGCGTCCAGTTCTTGTAGACGAGCGAGCTTTGCTTGCCCTGCTTGATGATCGCTTTGCGGAATCGGATGGACGAGACACCGATGGCGGCCCAGGAGAGCTGGTTGGAAACGCCCACGAGGTTCTGCAGCCAGTTCCACAGGTCGCCTGCGCCGATGTAGCTCGAGCCAAAGCAGAGGCCCGAAATGCTCGCAGTGCACGCGAGCGCCACCCAGGGCACACGGCTGCTCTTTGCCACCGTGCCGAGGAACTTGGGCGCCTGGCCCGTGGTGGCCATGCCGTGGAGCACGCGCGTGCCCGCAAACAGCGCATGATTACCCGCCGACAGCGCCGAGGTCATGACGACGGCATTCATGAAGCTCGCTGCACCGCGGCTGCCCGCCTGCTGGAATACGAGGGTGAAGGGCGAGACGGCGGCGGACTTTGACTTGAGGCCGGGCATGTTGTAGGGGATGTCGATACCAATGATGAAGAGCGCGAGGATGTAAAAGATGATGATACGCCAGAAGACGTTTCGGATGGTCTTTGGGATGGTCTTGGACGGATTCCTCGTTTCGCCCGCCGTGATGGAGAGCGACTCTGTACCACCAAACGCAAAGGATGCAGTGACGAAGGACGAGACCCAGCCTCCAAATCCACCGACAAAGGGAGCGTCTCCGATGGTCCAGTACCTGAAACCGAGGTAGGAATGGGTCTGGTTGACGCCGGCATTGACGACGATACCGACGATGATAAATACGATGATGGTGCAGATCTTGAGGAGTGAGAGGAGGTACTCGAGCTCGGCGTAACCGCGCACCGAGATCACGTTGACGGCGATGAGGAACGTGAGGAAGATGAGCGAGAGGGCCCAGCCGGGGAAGACGTCGTCGCTGACCCAGAACTTGAGGAGGATCTGGCAGGCGGTGAGGTCGCTTGCTACGGAGACGGCGTCGTTGATCCAGTAGTTGAGGCTGACGGAGAATCCGAAAGCCTCGTCGACGAAGCGCGAGCTGAAGACGCCGAAAGCACCGGATGCGGGGACGAGGGTGGACATCTCGCCCATGGCGACCATGGTGAGGTAGACGACGACGCCCACGATCGAGTAGGAGAGGAGGATGGAGAGCGGCCCCGAGGTGGCGAGCGCCTTGCCGCTGCCGAGGAAGAGACCGGTGCCGATGGTGCCTGCGAGCGCAATCATCTGGATGGTGCGCTCGCTGAGCGCTCTGCGCAGACGCACCTGCTGCAGCACAGCATCGTCGATAGGTGGGTGAGTGCTGGTGGTGGTAGTGGTGTGCGACCCCACTTTGGACAGCTCCGACTCGGTGTCCTTGTTCCCAACGCTGGAAGCAGTCGAGAGGTTGGTAGCCATGGCGGGACGCGACTGAGGCGCATGCTCGACGACATCGCTGTTGCCGTTATTGAAGTTAGTCATGGTGAAGATGGCCACTCCGAGCTACGAAGCTGCGGCAGGAAACGGAGCAGACACAAAAAGACGTCTTTCGATGGTGGTGGAAGTGCTCAGTCAAGGCCTCGTACTTGTAGTATTCGCGAGGGAAAGAGGTTGGGCTGTCGCCATGTGGCTCAGCTCGGCTGTAGCCATGGTGCAGGGCATCCTCGGCTGTCAGGCACAGGCCCGACATGAGAAAAGTGAAAAGGTACGAGTTTGGGATGGTGGGACATTCCGTCAGCGGCCAAGTGGATGGCGTGCTCGAGAGCAAGCGGCAGCGGTCCGCATGAAGGGAAGTGGCTGCTGTCGGCTGATTGGACGTGCCTTCATTAGCCGTGCTCGGACCGTTGTCTTTTGGCAAAGAAGGTGCCACCGGTGAGGCAGCAAAGTCACAAAAAATTCAGAACCAAACGGCGATTTTAGCGAGCGAAAGAGACAAAAGTCGATTCCGACCGCCTCCTCCGACGGTGCAGCTCAAGTGCCGAAGCAGTTGACCGACGGCTCGAAATTCCGACCTGTCGCCCGCAAATCATGTTTGACAGCCGCTCTCTCGGATTTAGGCCACGAAAGTTTCGTCTTTTTGACAGCCGACAGCTCTCACCACGGCGATCTCCCGATTGCCACTTCGAATCAAGATTGCACTGAATGCTTTGAACGACGAAAGCAGCGCTTCAGCGCCCGTGAACGTACTTTGTGTCAAGACGATGTTGTTGGCAGTCACGACGAGCTTGTCTGCCGCTTCGTTTGCCCATCCGAACGTTAAGGTAGGTCGGGTGAGATTGCCGTCATCGTTGTCTAAGTGTGGTAGATGTACATCCTCCCCTCCCATGGGCCGAGTGAACCTCGCTTTCCATCCACTGAACTATCGAGCACCACATTGGCTTCTTCGCCACCCGCTTCCTCGGGCACGGTGTACGTCTGCATCTCGCTGCTAAAGTTGAGCACTACGAATGCCCTTTCGCCTTTCTCCTCCTCGCTGCTTCCCTGGGGCAGCTTGATGTACATGAACAGCTTTTCGTGCTCCCTTCCCACCAGCCGGAACTCGCCTTTGCCTAGCAGATCGTGCTTCTTCCTGACCGCCAATGCGTGGCGATAGAACGCCAGTACCGAGCTCTTGTCTTGCTCCTGTGCAGCCACATTGATGCTGGTGTAGTTGTCGTTGGTTCGCATCCACGGCGTCGTTGCAGGATCCTCGCTGAACCCGCCGTGTGGGGCCGAGGTCCACTGCACCGGCGTACGCGCGTTGTCGCGCGCATGGAAGTTGATATCGTCGAGCGCCTTGACAAGCGTCTCTTTGCTACCGCGTGCGGCTGCATCCCGATAGTAGTTGATCGCAATCACATCCTTGTACTCGTCGTGACCCCAGGAGCGGGGGACATTTGTCATGCCAATCTCCTGGCCCTGATAGATGTACAAAGTACCCGTCAATCCGACCTGCATGAGGGCGAGCAGTTTGCCCGATGCCGTGATGTCCTCGGGCCGATCGCTTGCGTACTTGCTGATCGCCCTTGGCAAATCGTGGTTCTCCAGAAACACCGTTGGCCACGCATCGGTGCCCTCGATGAACCTCTGCCACCTCTCCACCACTTCCTTGAGCTGCTGGAGCGAAAAGTCGCTCCGAGCATAAAAGTCGTCGGGCGATCTTCCGAGCGCCGAAATGTCAAACTGAAAGACCTGGCTCAGCTCGTTGCGCGAGGCCGAGATGTAGCGCAGCACATCTTCGACGCGAGGAGTTGACGGAAGCTCGCCCACCGTCATGGCGTCGTACCGCGCAAAGATCGTGCCCATCTCCTGCAGGTATTCGTGCATGCGTGGGCCGTTGCAAAACACGCTGTCGCCGTTCTGCCATTCGGCGTTGGGATCGGTGATGGGTGCGTCAGGTAGTCCCTCAGGTTTGCTGTACAGGTTGACCGTATCCACCCTGAACCCATTCACGCCTCGCTTTAGCCAGAACTCGATCGCATCGCGGTAGAGCGTATGTCGACACTCGTCGTTGGCCCAGTTGAGGTCGGGCTGTTGAGGCGTGAACAGATGGAGGTAGTACTCCTGCGTATGCTCTTCCCAAGTCCAAGCCGACTGATTCAGTGCACCTCTCCAGTTGTTCGGTGGGCGCCTCTCTCCCGTCGCACTATACTTGGCCGGCCGCCAGATGTACCAGTCCCTCTTGGGGTTGGTCTTGTCCTTCTTGGACTCTTGGAACCACGCATGCTGGTCCGAGGTGTGGTTGATGACCAGATCCAGGATGAGTTTGATGCCCCGCGCGTGGCACTCCCGAATGAGCTCGTCCATGTCGCTCAGCGTGCCATAGGGAGGATAGACCGCCTGGTAGTCCGAGATGTCGTAGCCCATGTCGATCTGCGGCGAGTCGTACATGGGCGAGAGCCAGATGGTGTTGACGCCGAGCGAGGCGACATAGTCGAGCGTCGAGATGATGCCTTGGATGTCGCCGATGCCGTCGTTGTTGCTGTCCTTGTACGACGCTGGCCAGATCTGGTACACCACAGCATCGCGGAACCAGAACGTGCGTCCGTCTTGCGGCGTCATTTTGCGAATTGTACTTGGCTCGACTCGAGGAAAGAGTAGGTGGTGGTGGGATGTTTGAGTCCTGCACAAAGGGCACAGACCATGCGCTGTGTCCCCACACAATGGGATTGCGGGGACACAGCGCCAGATCTGCGGCTGATTTTGACCACCGAGCTCGCACCGAGAGGGTCATGAAGCAGCAGAACAAGGTTGCGCTGGTACACTTGGCGGACCGCCTCGGTCACGGCTGTCGAATTTGGCCGGTGGGATTAAATCGCCGAGCGCCGGATTTTAAAACATAGACAGCTACGGCGTAACATTTCAAAATTGCGAATCGCGATACCGGCCGGAAAGCGCGATGACGACGATCGAAGCGCCGGAAGACTTGCCAATCGGAAGGGCTCGCGAGGCGCATTTCCGGAAGAAAGCGAAAGGCAGGCGGGCCCATGCGATCTCCACCTGGGCCATCTCGCGCCGGCCATCGAGATCAACACCATCTCCCTCGTCGCTCGCATTGCAGTCATGGCATCAACACAGCCCTCCACATCCACCAAGAAGGTGTCGAGCGAAGACATCATCTCGCAAAAGGTAAGTTTTCACCCGCAGCATCATCCTCGCTCTAGCAGACTTTGTTGATGCTTGCTCTCGTATCCGCTTGCAGACGGACCTGTGCATTAGCAATGCGGTAGTCAAGACCGGAATCGGCTTCTCGGCCGGTGTTGTGCTCTCGGTGCTGCTTTTCCGACGTAAGTGATGATTGCGCTGTCCATCGCGCCGTTGTGCTTTATCGCTGATCCGCTTATACTTTGGGCTGTACAGGACGTGCATTCCCCGTCTGGCTCGGAACCGGCTTTGGTCTGGGCTCTGCATACACGGACTGCGAGCGCTCGTTCAACCCTGTCGCTGTTCCCGGTGTGCGCGTGGTTCCGTCGAACAACTCTGCCAACGTTTCGGCCAGTAGCTCTTCGCCACAGACGACGTTTGAGAAGCTGCAACAAAAGGCAGGCGAGGCATTCGCGGCTGCCAAGGACAAGACGGCACAGGGCATCGACAAGGCGCAGGAGAAGGGCGCCCAGGTGGCCGACAAGGTCGAACAGAAGGGCAGCCAGGCCATCGACGCCGCCAAGGCCGAGGCAAAGAAGATCGAGGACAAGGTGCGCTCTGTCTAAACCTCCGCTCAGCCCCCAGCTGCTTCGCCCTTGCTCCACCGTGGCACCACCCTTTTCAGCGCGTATATGCAGCATGCCAATCCTGCGAATCTACACCCAATTCAACATGCGCATACCATATCTGTCGCGCCCAATCGCCCCGAGCCAAGCCAGGACCGTGGGTGTCCTGTGCGCCGCCAAGCGGATGTGCAAGGGCGAAAGCAGTGTGTTGGGCGGGAGGCTGCCGTTGGACTGTGTTGTGAAGGAAAAGCGTGATTGACACGAAGCTTTTGCTCTTTCTTCTCCCTGCGCTACAAGTACACTATCCATTCGTCACTCGAGCCGAACCGCCTGCCCGGATCCGACTGCCTGGCCTGTCGACTGACCGGCTTTGCGGCGATGAGCGGTCTGGGCGCCTACTCGTTTGTCGAGGCGTATCGGATGGGCACCTTGCGGCGCTCGCCGCTGCCGGCCGGTGTCAAGGCGCGCCCCGTGTGGGGCGCAACGCTCGTCGTGTTTGGACTCGGCTGCTTGGGCGCTGGCGTGATTAGGCTTGGCGTGTAATCCTCCCAGCCCACCCACCGTCAAAGATGAGGCTCAGCCAAAGACCAAATGAAACAGCTGCGCGGATAGACATGGCGACAACCGACAAATGGTGGGATTGCAGATGAAGTGCTCACCGAAGGCGGTGGAAAGCGCCGAAACCACCGCTGGCAGACTGCTCTATATAACTGCGCCCGGCGCAGAGTGGATGGAGCCTTTGAACCTCCCAGACATACGACGATGCGCGCACTTTCTCTCATCGTGCCATTCACACTGTGCGTCCTGTTTGCTGCGCAGATGGGCGGCGCACAGCCGGTGCAGAGTGGCTTCGCGGGGGATCGGTCTGGCACAGATCCAAGGCGCCGCATTGGCACCGAGGCGAAGCCGGCCACCATCGTCAAACACGTCAAGACGCCATGCGACGGACGTATCTGCAACCACGCCTCGTTCTTTGAGTAGGCCCGAGCTACCATTCTTCGTCCGACGACGGACTACACGCAGAGGGCAGCGGCTCTGAAGGGACACTTGCAGTACTGCTGTTGAAACGGGCTTCATCCTTCCACGCAGCGAAGAGAATTTCCAGCCGAGAGATCATGCACACCACCGCATCCAGTGCCAGCCTGGGCATCAGCACCGACGAGCGCCAAACCAGATTCCACGTCCCGCGTTGCATACGAGCTGCAGGGCCGGGAAAAACTCGCATACGCTCTGGCGCGCCTTCTCCCATCCTTCCCGCGCCAGCACAAACATCCCTCGCCCGTCAACCTTTGCTCGATGCTGGCCATCGACCTTCTCACCAGCACAGATGCTGTACACTGTATACTTTTGTCAAGTCTTCACTCTTCGTCAAGCCTCACAGACCGACAAGTGTGTGCGAGAACAGGGATGGCGATACGATGTGGGCGGCTTTTTTGAAGTTCAGGAACGCATGGTCTGGCTGAGTCTGAAATCGCACCATGAACTTACTTTTGGCGGCAGCAAACATCGACTCGAAGCCACGTACCACTGGCGCGGGATAGATTTCCCGTCGAGCGTTGCTACTCGAGCAGCACCAGCTATCTTCGCACGTTCTTGGCATCATTACCAATGCATGCCCGTCTGTGTGGCTTTGCCCTTTTTCTTTCAGGGTCTCGGTGTTGTTCGCGGTGGTGTGCGGCTATCAGGGTCTGAGGCGAGGCAGAAGCCTTCTCTCGGCAAGCTCGGCAAAGAAATGCAAATGGCAGACACTGAGGGGTTGGCGAGGGTCCGCAAGGACTGCGTCCCGTTCTCCTGACGCTCCTCGTGTGCTCGTCCGGTGCCTACATGTACCGACAGCCTTTGCATACCGCCTCGTGCCCGCTCTCGGCTTTTCACCAGCCCGGACCAAACGTTTTATAGCAATGCCTGCCGGGCTGACACGTATATATGAGCAGGTCCTTGCTTCCTTCCGTGCCCCGCCTCCCCTTGCTTGAGGCGACTCTGAACCTTTCCTCTCCGCCGCCACCATGATCTCGAAAATGAAGCCGCGCGAGCACTGGGGCCGGGACGATTCGCATACGATGCACAAGGACGACTCGTCGATGGTGCGCCTCACGCTCCAGCTCATGCAGCAGAACCGCCCCCAGGTGATGGTCAACCTTGCGCTCGCTGTCATCTTCCTCGTGGACTTTTGGATGTCGGCCTTCAACATGTTCCACCGTCTGCTCATCAAGCTGCACATCATCGCTCCGCTGGCGGACAACTGTGTTCCTCCCGCGTTTTCGCCCACGAGCCCGCCACCGTTTGCGCAGTGGCCACTGACGCATCTCTTGTGCCGCGGCGTGCACGTGTACAACTTCTTGACCGGCTACAACGAGGAGCTGCGTCTCCACCACGACCTGTACTGTCGCAAGCCAAAGAACGAATGGATCCGCGATTGGGCGTATTGGGAAGGCATTGGTAGCCAGGGCGAGTGGGGCACACCATTCGCTGCTGCCGATAGCGACAGTCGATGCCCCTGTCCCGGTCTCAACATCCTCGCGACGCACGGCATCATCCACACATCGGGTCGGAAGGTGGCTGCATCCAAGATGGTCGTGGGCCTCTCTCGGGCGTTCAACATTGCGCCCACGATGGCGTTGCAGCTCTACTCGCCGCTGTTCCCCGTGTTTAGCGCGCGCGGCCACATCTTTGACCTCGAGGATCTCAGCATCATGAACGTCATCGAACACGATGCGAGCCTTCTCCGTCCGGATTTCCACCTGGCAGACTGGAAGAAGGATCCCAAAGCCATGTGCCGGCCTCATCAGGACATGATTGACCGCTGGTTCCCTGCGCGCCTCAAGCACGGCCAGCTCAAGGACGACATGACCGACCGCGACTTTGCCGAGGCGCTGTGCATCCGTCGCAACGAATCGCGAAGGCACAACCGACAGTACACCTCCAACGTAGTGCAGAGCCTCATCGGCTCCGGAAGCTGCTGTCTGATGCTCAACGTATTTGGCGGCAAGGTGCTCGATATGCGCGAGATGGCCGGAAGCGTCAGCAGGGATCTGCCGGGCGTGAGGACGACGGAGCATGGCGAGCAGTATGGATACGAACGCATTCCCGCCCGCACCATCAAGGGCGACAAGGTTCAAGGTTGCCCCATGGCAGCTGCTTCGCATCAGCAGAAATGGCAGCCGGCCACCGCAAAGAGGTTCTTTGGCATGACCATCTTCGAGGCTCTCTGGACCACGTTCAATATTGAAATGCGCGCAAGAGCCTGAGTCGATCCTGTAGTACATTCCTCTGCTCTGTTTGTTGTCACTATCTATCGCATCGTCTCTGATCTTCTCCGAATGCATGTCGTTTCCATCAAAGCAACCCTTATTAAAAGTGTGAGTGCGGTCCGCCTCCAGAAATTTATTGGACCCTGAAAATGAGGCGCGAAAAAAAAAGTGACTGTGATGTCTCAGAAGAAAGTGTGTCCGTCCTCCACTCAGCTACTCTTTCGTTTGCGGCGAGTGCGCTTCGGCCACTCATCATCCTTGCTTCCCCACCATCACATCGTGCCTCATCTACGCCGTGCTCCAGGTGTGCGCAGCCGACCATGTTCAAGTCGCTCGGCCTGCTGGCCAAGCTGCCGTGCCCGGACCATGCTAACGGCGAGTGCGAGAATAAGCGGGCGCTGTGCCCGTTCTCCCACAAGCCTCTGCCACCAGCAGCACCGAGCACAGCCAATGGTGTCGCGAGCGCATCCAGCAGTCGGCTGCCATCATCCGGCGCAGATACTCAGCGTCAAGTCGTCTCCAACACACTGAAAAGGGCGGGACCCAGCTCATCTACACCAACCACTGCGACGACGCCAGCAGCAGCAGCAGCCGCAAGCAGTCTTTCCGGCCCACCGTCCAAGAAGGCCAAAAATGCGTATACCGCCACCAAGCCCGTCGCCACCTCGTCGACCGCATCTTCGACTGCAGCGAGCAGCAAGGACAGCAACGAATGGTCTCTCGTCGGCATCAAGCCTCCTACGATCGGGTTCAAAGAGCATCCGTCCTCTTCTCAGATCCCGCTCTCTGCGAGACAAAATGGCCTCAAGGCGTTCTACAATGCATTCCTCGAGGCGTACGAGCCCATACTGCAGAGTGCGCATGCGGTGGTGGCGGCGTGCGGACAGCACCTCTGCCGCGACCATGCGCTTGCGCAGGAGCTCGAGCACTTTCACAAGGCCAACAAGGCGAGCTACAAGAGCAGCAGCATCACGCTCCTCGTCGGCCTCAAGAAGCGCGACAAGGAAGCGCTTCAAGCCGCCGCCCAAGCCGCCGCTACTGAAACGCGCAGTCACGGTGGCGATGCGGACCTGCCTGCGATCATCATGCGCTTCCTATCGGAAAAGTGCACCGAGATCGGCACGGCGTCGCAGGTGGATCAGAAGCGCAAAGAGGCTGCAGCACGACGGTCCGGCAAGCTCGATCGCAGGAGACTGGAAGACGCCGGATTCGTATGTCCCGTCGATCAGCTTGAAAAGTTCGAATATACGGCCAGCATCCCGCCCGAATGGCAGGCGGAGGGGAGCAGCAAGCCGGATGCGACGGGCGAGGTCAAGGAGTGCGAGCGGTGCGCCAACAAGTTCACCGTTGGCGGCGAGATGAACGACGCCGGCACCGAGCGGATTCCGCGCGACCCCAAGGAATGTCGATACCACTGGGGCAAGCGACGCTTCGAGAAGCTGCCGGGGATCAAGGGCCGCGTGCAGGTGTGGACGTGCTGCAACAAGCAGATTGGGGGCAGTGCGCTGGGCGACGACAGCTGCTGTTTTGGCCCGCACGTATTCAAGGAGACTGCGGGACTCGACTTACACCGACGCGAAGCATTCATCACCACCGAGCAGCTGATGGAGTCGGTGCGCGACGACGACCAGGCTACGCACGAGCCTCTGGAGATTGTGGCGCTCGACTGCGAGTTGAGCTACACGACTTCTGGGCTTACGCTGACGCGGTTGACGCTGGTGGATGAGGAGGGCGCGATGATCCTGGACGAGCTGGTGCGCGCACGCACCGAAGTGGTCGACTACAATACGCGCTTCTCGGGCATCACGCCGGAAGAGTACGAAGCCAAAGCGGTGTTCTCGCTCGAGCAGGTGCGCAAGACCATGGCCAGGTTCATTGGGCCCGATACGATCCTTGTGGGTCACGGACTGGAGAACGATCTGCGCGCCATTCGGCTCGTGCACCACAAGGTGGTGGATACGGTCATGCTGTACCCGCATGCGCGCGGCTTCCCCTTCCGCACCTCGCTCCGGGACTTGACCGCCAAGCATCTGGGCAAGATCATCCAGAACGGCACCAGTCTCGGCCACTCGTCGCTCGAGGATGCACTCATGTCGCTCGAGCTCGTGAGGTTCAAGATGGTCAATGACCCCACGTCTCCTTTTGCTTCGGCCAAGGAGGGCAAGGGCAAGGACGACACCGAGGCCAAGGACAAGACGGCGGGCGTGACTGTGCCGGCAGCGGCACCTGCGCCGCGCACCAGCCTGTTTGGCGCCACGTTGGCCAACGACAGCGCGCGCTCGGTCTTTCAAAAGTAGCTTCACCACCATCTCCAATGCAGATGCTCACCGCCGTCTCAGAACGTCGTCAAAACGAGATGATCATCAGCTTCTTACTACCAGATGAAGATCGTGTGGGCGGGTGGGGAGGATGCCTTGCAAAGAGGACAACTGCCGAGCGAGCGTTCGATTGATGAGTGATGAAATTTGGAACTTTGGCTGTGGCGGAAAGGAGGCAGTCGACTTCCGCACACGACCCTGAGCTGAGTTGACGCTGAATGCTGAGCTGAGTTTCGCTGAGTCGAAAGTTGTTAGGTTTTGGCTTTTTGAGCTGAAATTTCCCGCAAATCGGGGATGCTGTCGGGCCGCCTTTCGGCCGCTCTCATCGCCCGACGCCGCTGCTCCTCATCAGTTCCGCTTCCGCTATCCGCACTCGTTCACAACTCAGCTGCGGCTGTCGTGGATCCCGCCACCTTCTTCCGCTCCACCTTCTCCCTCTTCTTCTCATGCCGCCATCTCCATCATAGGCGCGCACTTTGCCCAGCCCACTCCAAAGGAGCTCCTCTCATACTCGAGCTGCCGAGGCGTCGGCCACCTCCACCTCATCTGCAACCACTAGACAACCCTCGAGTTTGATGCTCTGCACCACGCCATGGCCGCCGATCCCTCCACCAGCGGCTTTGCAGACTTTGCAGTACGTCTTTCCACCTCGCGTGCACGCTCTTGCGTCCATCCCGAATGCTCGCCATCATCGTTGCCACCATGCTGACTCACCTTCTACCCTCCTGCTCCCGCGATGATCTCTGCGACTCCAGTTGCTGGTCGACGCAATACGATCCCTCACCGTTGCGCAGGCAAAGGCGCTCATAAAGGACGTCAACAACGAACCAGAGGCGGCTTGCGGCCGTCTGGCACTCTCGGGCAACAAGCCCGAGATCATCAATCGCCTCATCACCTCGCTCACAGAACGCAAGAATCAGGGCGACATCAGAGGATACCAGCGCTTTCGCACCCTCATCGGCAGATACAAGGGCATGCAACACGTCGCCGCTGCACAATCCTACAACCGCACCGGGTAAGTTGATCGTCTCTTCCCACGCCATGCTACACACGCTAACCCCGATTCGGTCCGCTACCTCCTTGCTCTTTTCCGCAACGTCAAACAGACTGACACCAAGCACAAGTACGTATGGAGCCATCAACGCCGCAAGAGCGTATGCGGGACCAGCGCAAAGTTTGGGAGGCATTCCTGCTAACAAGGCCTCAAACGTTGCATCGTCCTCTTACTCTCCTCTAGCAAGCGCTGGCGCCCCGTCGTCGCGACCCATGGGCTCAGCAGGTGCGGCGCGCATCAACTTCAAGCCGTCGCCGTTCTACGAGATCAAGCACTTTGTGTCGCCCATCGTCCAGTGCCCCGAGGCACCCACGCAGAACGACCGCAAGAACGCCACGCTCTTTGTCAACCTCTCCGCCGAGCAGGTGGAGCAGCTCAAGGGTCCCAAGCACCAGCTCCGGCTCTTCTGCACCACCGTCGAGGCGCATGCAGCATCGCTCTCGGGACGCAATCCCGCCACGGTCGAGTTCCCGCTCACGTGCGAGGCGCGCGTCAACACGCACACTCTCTCGACCAACCTGCGCGGCAGCAAGAAGAACGTCGGTCGAGTGCCGCCACCCAACCTCAACAAAGATGGCATGCTTGCGCTGCGCGACGGACGTCCGAATCGCATCGATCTGACGTACACCAATGCGCCCAAGCGACACGTGCTCGTGGCGGCCATCTGCGAGATCACCACGGTGGAGATCCTGGTGGAGCGGCTCAAGTCGCAGCAGTTCCGCACCAAGGACGACGTGCTGTCGCGCATGCGCAGGGAGGCCGAGGACGACGACATCGAGGCGGGCGCGGCGACCATGAGCCTCAAGTGTCCGTTCAGCTACATGCGCATCGCCACACCGTGCCGCTCCATCCACTGCTCTCACGTGCAGTGCTTCGATGCCTACAGTTTCTTCTCGGTCAACGAACAGACGCCATCGTGGGCGTGCCCCGTATGTCACAAGAGCATCAAGGTGGAGGAGCTCATCATGGACGGCTACGTCGACGACATTCTGAAGCGCGTTCCGCAGGACGAGGACTCGGTGGTTGTGGAGCCCGACGGATCGTGGCACACCTCGGACGGCAAGGTGAGCTCGGCGGGCACGGCGCAGGCCACGCCCGCCGCCGAGGGAACTCCGCTGCAGGAGCGACTGCTGAATGGACACGACGAAGATGTCAAGCCTGTCGCAGGCCACGGCAAGTCGAACGGCACGCGCACGCCGATGGACGAGATTGTGTTGCTCGACAGTCCCTCACCGCCACCCCAATCTGCAGCAAACGAGGCCGCACAAGCACCAGCCGCAGCGGCACGAGCATCAGCACCAGCAGCAGCGGCACCAGCAGCGCCCATGGTGAATGGCGGATCAGCACAGGCGGCGCGGAACGGATCTTCAAGCAGCGCAACGGCGCCTCCCAAGGCACCACGAGCAGCAGCTCTCGCAGCGCTGCCGGAGCGCATCGAGCTACTGAGCAGCAGCACCAACTCGAGTGCACGCCAATCGCCCGCAGTCGCCGCCAACGACGTGATCGACCTCACTTTGGATAGCGACGACGAAGCCGAGCCGTCGGTGCCCACGCGTCCTGTCGCGAGGAACGGCAACCATGTGCACGCCTCGCACGCCTCGCATGGTGGCAGTAGCAGCAGCAGCGCGGGAGGAAGTCATCGAGGATTCGCGCAGTTTGCTCCGACGCCGCACCGCACGGGACCGTTTGCAGCGGCGATGGCGAGGGCAGAGGCGACGCCGGAGGACGAGCAGATCCGACGCCCGGGCAAGCGTCCGCGTGTAGACGCCAACGAGATCCCAACGCCGTCCGATCCACGGCTTGCGAATGGCAGGCGAGCAGCAGGACAGTCCACGGCGCCGGTGCCGTCGTCGTACCTCGATGTGGGCGCGAACGGCACGGGCGGTCGAGAGGCAGGTAGCACGACGGCGAATGGGGCCGAGACAGCCGCACCGCGTGGCGGGGATGAGGCCGAGGACGCGTGGATGGACAACGCCGACGCCAGCGAGCACGAGCAGTACCTCAACGAAGAAGACTGGTGGTCGCCTGGCGCGTGATCGCGCTGTCACCATGCACAGAAATGTACTTTTAGCAACCCTCACCCGCATCGCACATTTTGCAAGCCCGCGGTGCTGGGAGATCGATTCACCATAACGAGTGTGGCAGAGTGGCCGGGTGAGGATGGGGTGAGACAGTTGCAAGCAGTCGGCATTCCAGAGGGGGATGGCGGGAGACGCGTCGCGCAAATTGCGAATTGCGACTGCGACGCGTCGAGGCGAGGGTTTGGCGGGTACGGGACGAGTGTGTACGCGTGCATCGGGAGGGATTTGAACGCGCGTCGTTCGTGTAAAGTAGGGCCAAATGCGATGCGATGCGGGTGCGATGCAGAGTCGGATGCGGGTTGGAAATTTTTTCGGTTTGGGGGGCTGGGCTTTGGGTGTGCATGCGTTGGCTCGCATCTGTCGCAAACACCCACAGACACCCACACACCCAGGCAGGCATGATTGGTCCGCCCATGCTGTGCACTCTCTATCATCACCTCCACCATCCGCACACCCACCTTATTCTCCTCCATCACACACCCGCCCCTACGCCTCCACATATGCACACCACCACGTCAACACCACCACCACCACAACAACACACACCCACGCATCGCGCCACAATGTCCGAGCAGTCACGCAGGCGAGAGGTCGAGATGTACGCACACACGCTGCGCACACGTCTTCAGCTCGCATCGATCAAAGCGCTCGGCACCAAGTTCGACGCTGCACCCGTCCAACCTCTGGCGACGAGTCTGGTTGCCAACACCACCGACGACTCGCAAGTGTCGACGCCCGCACTGTCGCAGACCGAATCGTCATCCTCGAGCCGATCCACACGCTCCATCTACCTCGATATCTTTGGTACGGATTTCCGCCCCAAGTCGCTTTCGCGCACCACCTCTTTCGCTTCATCGTCGTCGCGCCCCCGGTCGGGAGAGTCGCCGTGTGCATCCACATCAGGCTCGACACGGTCGCTGCTGGACCGTACCGCTTCGTCGCCGCAGCTCGGCTCGCCGGAACGAAGCAATGGCCGATTTGACTGGCACAACAATCCGACGCCCGCCATGGTCGCACACGAAACCCGACTCGCCACCCCACCCTTTGCACTGCCCGTATCGCCGTGTAAGCGACGCCGCGAGACGAGCCACACCACCACCACCACCACGCCGCGCCGGTCGAGACTCCACAGTACGGGCTTCCTGCCCAACGGGCATCCGGCATCGTCGCTCGCGCAGGACCTGGGGTTGACCACTCCACGCACGCCGCGGTCGCGCCACGCATCGGGTCGGCATATTCTCGTGCATGCAGTGGACCAGGACCAGGAGGAGCGTGATCGTGTCGCCACGACGCTCGCTGCACTGGCAGAATCGCGTGCCGCCAGCAGTGGGAGCGACTCGAGCGGCTCCGACCGCCCCCACACACCCCCGCAGCATGGACTGGGCATCGGATTCAGCCCCACACTCAAGCGCACCGTACCTCCCGCCAAACGGCACAAGCGCAATGTGTCGTGGTCCGTCCCCGCGCTGCCTGCTGCCGAGGAGGAGGCCGAGGATCGCACTGCCGCCGACTATCTACTCTTCCTCGCATCCAGTCCATCACCTTCGTCGATCAAGCGCTTTTCGTCCGATATCGAGCCCGCCGCCGCAGGAGTACTCGCTACGCCGGCGCATACGTCGCTCTGGGATCCGTTCGGCGAACCCCGCAGCCGGACCACGACACAACGAGGTGAACCCCTAACTCCACCACCCTCTGCTCGAAAACCTTCTGCTGCTGCTGCTGGGGTAGGGGGATTGGATACGCCTCGGGATGCGCACGAGTACATGGCGACACGCACGCCGAGGTCACCGCGCACACCGCCGCCGTCGATGCTGCGCAACAGCGGCTGCTTTGAAGTGGGCACCCCCGCCGCACCCGGCGGCGACACCAACTTCCACTATGCCGACTTTGTCAATGTCTCCCCCAGCCCGCAGCCACCCAGCACGGGCAGATTCGCTAATACCTATGCTCCGCGTGGCGAGCTCAGGACTCCGACAAAGATCAACCGTCACCGATTCGAGCGTCCCTCTTAGAAAAAAATCCCCCTAGTACTATTCGATTTGTACCACCTTTCGCCCGTCATGGCGCTGCTGTATCCTTAATTTCTTCCAATACCTTGTCCATCACACACACACACACACACCCACACACACGGGAGTCTCGGATGAAGGAAGATGAATGCTTCACGCTGCGGCGCGATGGTCGTCAACTAGGGCCTCGTTATCACCGCCTACGGCGGCGGCGGCGGCGGACTTGGGCGAGGCGGGCGGGGTGAAGATGGCATCGACGTCCTGACCCAACTCTTCGACGAGGGCATGTTCGAGTGCCTGGGTGCACTGTCTGCGCACTGCATGCTGCTGCGCTTCGAGCTGGTTGAGCTGCTGCCACAGACGCGCATTTTCGGCACGCACATATCGCAGCTTGGCCTTCTCCACCACGTACCTGGTGCGCGCGCTGGCGATGGCCGCTTTGGCCGCTTCCATGGTGTTGTCTTCGGCAAAGCGCGACGAGCGGCGTGTGCGCGTGTTGCGGCGCGTGCGACGCACCGAGACATCCAACGAGTCCGCCGAGTCGCTTTCGTAGTCGCGCTTGCCGTTGGCCTCTTCCGGTTCGCCCGAGGCGGATGCGCGGGGTCGAGAGGCGGCGTCGCGCGGTTTGCGGTTGCGTTCGCGCTCCCGCACGTCTTTGGCCCACACGCGCAACGCACGCCCCAGCACCGCCTCGTTGCGCCTGGCCTCCTCCGCATCACTCTCGGCGCCGAGTCGTTCGGAGATACCCAGCTCGTCCGCCGACATGGTGTACAGATTCGCCTCGCCCGACGCACCCGCTGCCAGCGAGGCGGCCTCACCCCCCGCGAGCTCGAGCAGCTCATCGCCCAACGAATCCGTCGCCCCACCCGCAGGCTTGGCCGGCGTCGCCTCTGCACCCTCCACAACCATCGACGCATCTTCCGCTTCGTCGGCCGCATTCGACGCCGCCGCACGCCTCGATCCGGCCGTGATGATGTTGTGCTGCACGCGCATATGCTTGCTGAGCGCATCCGACCTTGTAAAGCTCTTGTCGCACTCGGGCCTTGGGCACGTGAACGGCTTCTCGCCCGTATGGCTACGCAGATGGCTGAGCAGCGCAAATCGCGACGTCTGCGGCTTGCCCTTGCGGATGCAGCCCGTCCATTCGCACATGTACTTGCTCTTGTGGATGCCAATGTGCTCGTGGTGCAGATGGTCGATGAACGGCTGCAGACTGTTGAACGTCTCGCCGCAGTCGTTCCACTGGCACGTCACCTCGGCGTCGTTCGGGGCAGACGAGTCGCGCATCGACTCGTCCATAAGCTCGTCGCCCTCGGGAGACGCTGATCGTGCAGCGCGTGGCGCGGTAGAGGTGACGCCGTCCTCGCCCTCGGAGGCAGAGGTGGAGATCTCGGACAAGGTGGGAGAGGGTGCGCGCGGAGGCATGGTGGGTTTGGATCGTGGCGGCTTGTGTGGCGACGAGGGCGGATTGGATGCCCTGCCTACGCCGAGTGATGAGGAGGGAGAGGGAGAGCGCTCGGTAGCCGCTTCCATGCGCCGAGATGGAGTGGCAGCAGCGGGTGTGGAAGAGGAGGTGGATGCGGCGCCCGCAGCGGGGAGCTTTCGACGCGGCATGGCAGAGGAGCAGGGTCGGATGGGGCCCGAGGTGGCGGTTGATGGTGGTCGGACGGCAGCCGATGCAGATGTGATGCCCGAAGAGTTGAGACTTTGCGAATATTCGCATCGGCTTCTCCCACTCAGCAGCGCGGCTCTGAGATGGCGGAGACGCGCGAGGCTTCCGGCATGTACACGATCTAACAATCTCACGCATTTTCGAACCTGCCAATCACAGCGCACGAGCCCAGCGCCATTCGCCCATCTTGCTCGTTGCTTCCGACCTCACCCCCACACTACAACACCGCAAGCCATTCTCGCGCACCCGCAACACTCGCTTCTAATTGCGTCTTGCTGGAACTGCTTCCCCCGGCGCAACTCTACAATGACCGACGCCGCCGCTTCATCCTCATCCTCGTCCTCGTCGGCCAAATGGTCTAGCGATCGATTCTTCCAGACGCAGGCGCCGCCGTCGAATCTGCGCGAGGTGTCTGCCACCGCGGCCGAGTTCGTGCAGCGCCACATGCGCGAGGGCCGCAAAGTCGTGCTCGTAACTTCGGGCGGTACCACGGTGCCGCTCGAGAAGAACGTGGTGCGATTCCTCGACAACTTCTCCGCCGGCACGCGCGGCGCCACATCCGCCGAGTACTTTCTCTCCGCCGGCTATGCGGTCATCTTTATGAGCAGGCAGCACTCGCTCGCTCCGTACACGCGCCACTACAGCCACACCACCAACCCGTTCCTCGATCTGCTTGCCGACCCGGCCACGCACGTCCACACCGACTCGCCCGCCTCATCCTCGGGCGACGACGACATCACCGTGCTCAAGCAGCATGTTGCGCACCTTCGGCCGATTCTTTCCGCATACCACCATGCGCGCACCTCGGGCCTGCTGCATACCGTGCCGTTCGTCACGGTCAACGACTATCTGTGGCTGCTGCGCGAGATGTCTCGCATCATGCAGCCGCTCGGTCGCTCTGCAATGTACTACCTCGCTGCGGCGGTGAGCGACTTTTTCATCCCCTCGACCAACGTGCCCGAACACAAGATCCAATCTGGCAAAGGCTCTCTCACAATCCAGATGGATCAGGTGCCCAAGGTGCTCAAACCCATGGTGGAGCAGTGGGTGCCCGAGGGATACCTGGTGAGCTTCAAGCTCGAGACCGACCCGCAGCTGCTCATCCCCAAAGCGGTGGGTGCGTTGCAGAGGTACGGCCACCAGCTCGTCATTGGCAACGACCTCAACCGCCGCAAGTTCGAGGTGGTCTTCGTCGAGCGTGCATCGTCCAACTCGCAGTCGACAGGGAGGAAGCGCGAACAGCTCGAGGTGGACGGCGACAAGTTCGAGGCGACGTGGATGCGGTTGTCCGACTCGGGGCCGGGAAGGGAAGGTGGCGGTAAAGGTGGCGAGAAGGAGCTCGAGGAGGATATTATCGCCGAGCTGTGCACCCGACACGAACAGTGGATCGCAGCAGCCAGTGCGGAACAAGACCGCTCGCGCATTTGACCGCCTACGAAAAGCAAAACAGAATCAGCCTCACTGCACGGCGTGTGTGAGACTGGACGTGTGCAGCCTGCTGACAAGGCCCGCGCCGGCCATCTGAACCTGTTCACACGCGCGCAAATGTGGTGACCGACCTCACAAGCAAGCATGTGCCTTACCCTGAGAAAGTGCGCCATGCGGATCACAAATTGAGCATGACTTGCAGAGTCTAGCGTTGCGCGCACGAGTGTCATGCTGCAGTCCGCGCACGCCGCCAAGTCCAAGTTGATGGGTCGACATGTTGTGATCACAGTCATGCTGGGCGCGAGTAGGCAGCCAACGCGCCCCGTCTCGAGCAATAGCAGCGACACCATTTCGAGGAGGGAAGCACCACGTCGCACTGTTGACGCGCTTGGCTGCGACGATCACAGAGTACACACCTCGTATTCAAGTACACGGGTGGGGGGAGCGCACGCCAAACTGGCGAGCGAGTGGGTTGTGGGCGCGCGGGCGATGCGGCGGTGGAAGAACGACGCCCGTTCGACGGGCGTCGTTCTTCCCCCCCGTCGTATCGGACCGCGCGCGCGCAACACATGAGCACGGCAGTTGGGCGGCTTGGTGCGATTCCACCCCGACGTACACCAGCCAAGTCGCTTGTATTGGTATTACTGCGATGCCTGGCGATGGTTGGGCGCTGGCGGTAGCACACGACAGACGGCAGACCTGTTGGTACGGAACGAGTCAAATTGATGGTAGTAGTCTATCTACAGGATGTGTGTGTGCGAAGCTAAGTGAGACTGAGGGAACGAGCTAGTGAGGGAAGGGGTACGTGCATGGTGCCCCTGAGTCGGGTGTATTATATGCATGCACGCCTCCAGGGCGTGCATGGTGGTAGCGCGCGTGTGTATGCAGGTACCGGCCCGAGCGAGCCGGATACCCACCGACAGCTTGTACCCTCGTCCACCTCCTCACAAGACCGAGTCGAACGCCTTTGCTGTACACCCATCACACACTGTCTCGGGCCAAGATCCATAAGGTCCACAATCTATTTCTGCTTGCACTGTGGCGGAGGGAGGGACTACCAATTCTTGGCGTAGATCCAGAGCTTCTTGTAGACGGGTGCGCCGTGCATCATGGCATTGTTCTTCTCCTCGTCCTGCTTCCAGATCAACTCGTCCTGTTCGTCAAACTCGCGCACGTCCGAAACGAGGTCCACCTCTTCGGGGCGGATGAACTTGGTGCGGTGCCAGAGCTTCCATCCGATCATGATGAGGAAGAAGATGGGGAGGCCAATGTAGTTGGTAAGGAACGTGCGCCAGTTGAATGTAAACAGGAACGAGTTCCAGCCCTTGAAGAAGACGACGATCGACGTGAACACCACCGCAAAGTACGAGAGGTATGGCTGCAAGGGCGACTTCCACGGGAGCGAGTCGCGGTCCATGCCTTGCGCCTTCATCGCCTTCATGAATCGGATGTGCGCAATCAGGATGCAGATCCACGTGAGACCGCCGAACATCGTCACGGACGCAACGAGGTACGAGAACGTCTGCGGTCCACCGCTCGCCAGGTTGATGAAAGCCAGCGCACAGAAGAGCGCCGTAACCGACAGCGCCACATAGGGCACACCACGACGGTCAACTCGCCTAAAGATCGCCGGAGCCTTGCCGTCGATGGCGAGGCCGTAGAGCGTGCGCGCTGCGATGTACTGGTCACTGTTGGCCGCCGAGATGCAGAAGATCAAGATGGCCGCGTTGATGATGTCCGGCAGCACACGGATGCGCGCACGCACGATGGCCACCACAAACGGCGAAGCCGCCGCCGAGGTGCCCTTCTTGTTGGCCGCGAGCAGCTCGGGCGCGTTGCTGGGCACCACCATTCCCACGAGCAAAGCACCGACCACGTAGAAGAACACGATTCGGAAAAAGGTCTTCTTGATCGCCGACGGCACCGACTTGCGCGGGTTCGCCGCCTCACCCACTGTGACCGCCACCAGCTCCGAGCCTGTGTGTGAAATGAACCAAAGTCAAGCGTTAGTGTTACCGAATAGTTTGTTGTAACCTCCATCCCCGCACGACTGCAACCGAAATTGCATTGCCGGCATTTCATATCATTTGGCCATCTTTGACATGGCCATGGTGTTGCTTCGACCTCTTGCTGGGTCTGCAATCCAGCTCGATGGCAAATGCGCGCGAGGGGTGTAGGGAAAGAGTGACGGACTTACCAGTGTACGCAAAGAGGGCGGTGACCATGGTGGACCAGAAGCCGAGGAAGCGGCCCTTGTCGCCGCTGGTTCGCGGGTAGGGTCGGAAGGCGAGGCCGTCCTGAAAGTAGCGGAATCCGATGCGGTCGCCCGTGGGCGATCCGCCGAGGTCGATGACGAGCAGCAGGATGATCAGGCCCGTCATGGTGATGATTTTGACGAGCGAGAGCCAGAACTCGACCTCGCCGAACCACTTGGGACCTCCGAAGTTGAGCGCAATGATCAGAACCGTCACGATGGCGATCCAGATGCCTCCGGAAAGATCTGTCCAATAACTCACCACCAACGCTGCCGCGTTGACATTGTTGGCGGTAACGACCAAATACTTGAACAAATAGTTCCATCCAGTAGCGACGCCGAACTCGTCAGAGACGAAGCGAGTGGCATGACCAGCGAAGCCTCGAGGATGAGGCATGTAAGTCGACATTTCGCCGAGCGCGGCCATTACGGCCGCGCAGCAGAGACCCATTACGGAATATGAAATGAGAATGGACGCAGGCCCACCGTTTGCGAGACCCGAACCGGTGCCGATAATGAGACCGGTGCCGAGGGCGCCACCGATAGCAATCATACTGATTTGGCGACTCTTGAGCGCTCGGTGGAGCTGACGCTCCTCCGGCTTCTGGTTGTCGATAGCGGAGGAAACCTCCTGGTTGTAGCCCTTGACAGCATCGTCACTGGAGCTGGCTTTCTCCTGGGCGTAGGGGCCCTCGGAGCTGATCTGTTCCGAGTGCACCATCGTTGCGGGGAGTCGACTGCTGTCGGTAAAAAGGAGTCCGTTTCGTGAGATGGAGCAGGGAAAAGGGGTAGGGTTGGTTCCGTTGCTGCCGCTTCTATTGGTGGTGGTGGTGGTGACGAAGACAGGGGTCGGAAGGGAAGAGGTGTGCAGAGGGACAGACTCTTTTATTCACTCTACACTGGGGGCCGGGGGGCTATGAACGCGTGCTGATTGGAGGTGCGTTGTGTCGCGTGTGGCTAACCGAGGTGCAGGGCACTGTGACTGGCGGTGGGATTGCGTGCGAGCTTGATTGGGTTCTGATTCCTCGGTGGGGGGGTTGGGTGTTGCCACTATCTGTAGCCTTGATGCGGCGGCGGCGTGACTTTTTTTTGCCCTTTTTTTTGGCAGAAAGGCCCACGAGGGCGGGGGGGTCATACTTGCCAAGAGCGCTGGGTGATAAGGCATCCAGCCAGTCAGCTGTTGCCGGCACAAGCGAGGAGAGAGGAGTGCATCAGTGGCTGTGGCTTTTGGGTGCAACCCGAGACCACCGCGTCGTTGCACCGATAAACTCACCGACTGCGGGCGAAAATCCTCCGTTGGTTTTTGACAGCGGGGAGGGAATATTTTTTGCCAAGACTTTTTTTGCTTTCCACACCGCCGCTTGCAGGCACTACGCCAGTGTAGCCCTCATCGTCGGTCCTAGCGGTCACTCGAATCCCTCCGACCCGCAAACCGCACCGCACCGCCGTTTGGAACCCCTCCTTTTCCCGCCACCTCTTTTTCGCCGATCCCTCTTCCCACCCGCTCTCTTCATTCTCACCACCCAACGCTGCACGACGGCATTTGGCGAAAGTGATGTGAATGTATTGGGCTCTAGGCTTCAGCTTATCGCTTATCGCCGTCTGTCAAAAGCTGTTCGCTGTGCGTCGGTAAAGCGCTCAAAGTGTCGGAGTCTCACAGCACAAGTTATCGCGGTCGAATAAAAAGTTTTTTCAAGGTCTTGGCAACCACACCCAACCCACACCTCGCTTGGGACCCAACTGGGGTCGGCCAATCAAGTACCCCCCCGACCCTGCGCCCTCGCATAGCCGCATCCTCATTGGTCCCACTCGCGCTCCACATGACCATCCGCCAAAATACAAATTTCAAGGTCATGTGCTAGCCCAAAACTCGCGTACCTCAAATTCCCATTCCAACACCGTCATCCCTCCATCCCGATCAGACGGAAACATCCGCCGGAAACCCCCAATCGAGGTGTAGTCCCCCCGCATTCAACCCCAGACCCTCCCCTCACCCTTTCCGAATCATGTTTCTTCACCCCCTCCCCCCCACACACACTCGCATGTAGTTTAAACCCGACGTTAGAATTGCAAGGCACCCAACGTGCTCACGTGGCAGTTTGAATTTTTCTAGACGTCCATCGCTTCCGTAGGGCCGGGCTCGATCTTGCTCCTGCGCTTCTGACTCGCCAGGTTGGCTTGCAGCGTCGGCCAGTCGGAAGAGAAGGTGCGCCGGTGTTGCTTCTTGCGTTCTTCGCGCGAGAGCGCCGTCACGCCAAACAGCGCCGTGCTGGATGCCGTGCTGGACAGCACGCTCTGCATCGAGTCCGGCCGTGCCCGTGCCCGCCCCGCGTGACCCTGAGCCTCCACTCCGCGCGAACCGAGCGATAGCGACGTCTCCATCGCCTGCCTCCCAGGAGTACCTGCGTGCAGCTGCAGAGGTGGAAGCTGCGACGGCGGCTCTATTGGCGATCGCGCCGACGGACGACGACGAAGAGGAAGAGGCAGGCGCTACGTTGGTCCCGTCTCCCAGCGGCGTCGGAGCGGTCGGCGCTGCGACGTCCCAGTCGGAGGCGTCGTTGAGGATGCCGTTGGGTGCGCAACGCGAGCCGTACATGCCGACCACCGCCTCGATGAGTTGCCAACGAGACATTGTCGCTGCGGACGCGGTCATGGCTTGTGCCTTCGGTTTGTCCTTGACGGCGTGTCGGTAGAGCTTCCGAAGCTGTGCCGCGTCGAGGCCAATCACAGGCACCTGGCGATGTCGGTGAAAGAGGATGAGTGCCTCGTACCTCTGCGCCTTGGGCAGGCCTGCGTTGCATAGACCTCTTTCGGAGCACGTGGCTGAGTTCTGGTAATCGCCCATCTCGGCGTAGGATGCTTCCACCTCGTCGCGAGGCTCCCGATCGAGACAGATCGCACACAGCCCTTGCCGCTCGGTCTCGGCGACGGCGAGGTAGCTGCCTACAAAGTTGAAGAACTCAGCGTGCGTCATGTTCTCGACAGGGCTGCGGTTGACCTGCAGCAACTCGTTGATCCACTGCTGGCCCGTGATATCGTCCGCCGAAAAGTAATTGGCGCAGGACGGGTCGGAGGACAGAGTATCGTCCGTGGCGTCAGAAGCAGCAGGAGAGGTAGAAGGGGTAGGAGGGGTAGGAGGGGTAGGAGGGCCACGTTCGGCAGCGGCGGCGGCGGCAAGAGAGGCGGAGGATGACGACAAATGGCCGCCGCCTTTGGCGCCGAGAGGGGCTGAGGGCACCAGCGTCAACGACGACGACGATGCGACGGTGGCGTGCGTAGGATTGGCGACATGTCCCGTGGCCCAGCCGTAGGCAGAGAGAAAGTCGGTCTCCGCCTCCTGCAGGCGCTCAACGAGGCTGACCTGCTCGCTGGACAGGTGCTCCTTCCATCCGTCGTCGTTGATCAGGTCGATTGCGAGGCGCGGCACCTTGCACGCAAGCAGCTGGTCGGACATGACGGCTTCTCGCAGCTTGCGCACCACCGGAAGCGACTTGGCGACGTGGGGATTGGCCAGCACCGTGGTCGACGCTGCTGGTGCTGCAATGCCGAAGGAGCGACCAGCTGCCTCGCGAGCTTCCTTGGAGTACAGCTGGTCGATGTTGCGACCCCCCGCTGCAAATGCGGCCTGGTCGATGGGCACATGGTCGGCAAGATACACCGTCTCGACGACACGCGAGTTGGCGTGTCGGTGGCCCATCAACAGCCGAAGCTGCTCCTGGGAGACGCTGTTTTTCGCCAGGGTTGCAAAGGTTCGGCGAAAGTCGTACGGGGCCAGAGAGTCCCAGCCGAGCAGCTTGGCGATCTGCTGGAGGCAAGTGGCAGCGTCTCGACTCGACATGGCCACAAGGCGCATGTTGTGAGCATTGTTGAGCTTTGTGTCTTGGTCGTAGAAGCTCGATCGATCGGCTAGCAGCACTGGCACGTCCTTCCAGGCCTTCTTGATGCGAAGGAGAGTGTTGGGGGCGAGGGCGGTGCTGGACGGATCGTAGACCATGTCGCGGATCGCCTTGTCGGTCTGTGGCTCAAAGACGTCGAGCCATTGGGCGAGCACCAGGATCCAACGGACTGCACAGTGATGCGACGTCTCGGCCTTCTGCGAGGTGATCGACGTAGGGATGATCTCGCCCGCCATCCGGCCCTTGCCAAACTTCCACTCGATCTCGAGTCGGAAGCGCGGCTCTGTGGAAAGGGCGGTACGGGGGGTGGAAGGGCCGGCACCGTCGTCGGCGTCACCGGTACGTTGGGTACGGGCGCAAACGTACCTGCCGCAGTAGATGAGCTTTACGTCGGACCAGAGGAAGGCAGACGTGCGCTCCTCCGAGGGTCGCTCGTCGGTGTAGTGGTCGTAGCGAAAGAGCTCTCCGGGACGCAGGCCAGTGGCCTCTAGCAGCGTGACGACAAACAGCATGCAGATGCGTTCGATCGTCGGCACCTGCACCCTCCACAGCGTCGCAAGCACCGCCTCGATCTCGGCCGGCGTCAAGATGTGTTTGCGACGCTTTGCCATGGTCAGGAGTCCCTGGTTCTCCAAGAGCCGCGCCCAGCAGGTCGTCTGGTACGGCTCGTTGTCGGCATAGGGTGTCGACGACGACTTCTTGGACGACGACGAGGAGGAGACGTCGCCTGCCATCGTCGAAGGGTCGTAGGCGGCCTGGGCCCGGCGGCGCACTCCGCTGAAGAAGGCTTTGACGACACCGATCAGGCCTTCAAAGGTCATGGGCCGATCGTCTGGCCCAGGACGAGGCAGATCCTTGATCAGCTCCTCATCCGCGACATGCGAGCCAGGGCGCTGGTGGTGGCGAGCGACGTGCAGCATGCGCGCCATGCGGTCTGCGCGGGCTTGCTCGCTGGGATCGAGCTTCTCCAGGCCGTATCCGCCATTGACACCCGTGCTCGAGCCATTGATCAGCGCAGAGAGGCGGCCGCCGCCGCCGAGCAGGGCGTACGCGGCGAAGCCCTGGCGCAGCACGCCGATCGAAACCTTGGCGGTGAGGAGACGCTTCTCGGCCTCCTCGACGTCGATCTTGAGGATCTCGGAGGTGTAGTGCGACAGGAAGGTGAGGATGCGCACGAAATTGGCTTCGGTGCGCGCCTTGACGCGTGGGGTGAGCGAAGTGTTGAGAGCATCGATCACCTCGTGCTGATCGCCCAGCAGCCGAGCCTTGGCAGCGCGCTTGTGATGTTTCGTTGCGGCGGCCTTCTGCGCCGCAGCCTGCTTCTTTTGGGCGCGAGAGAGCGCCATGTCGAAGCCAGAGCGTAGGTGGGGAGCGGAACCAAAGGGTAGAAGCGATACGGAGGGTAGGAGAGGTACACGAGGGTACGACCGCGACGCGGGGCCGAGCTGCTGAGGGTCGCGAGGGCGACGCTGCTGGATGGGCGAGGGCTAGGAGTGGTGGGTACGGAGGGTACGAGTGGTGATGCGTAGCCGGGCTGCGATGTCGCGAGAGCAAGACCCGATAGCGCAGGCAGAAGCGACAGCAACGGTATGGATGCTGATGGACGTAGGTGTGCTGCGAGGGCAAAGGACGGTCGAAAGGCGACAAGTGCAATAGAAGCTTTTTTTTTTGTGTCAGCACGCAGATCCTCGCAGCTGCCGAGTTTGCGAGGTTGGAGTCGATGACCTACCAAGTTGGCAGATACCAAGATCTTGCAGAAGATATACGCTGGAAGCAGACGATGCGGTGGGCGGCGTGGCTGAGGAGGGGGAAGGAGGGGGAAGGCCGAGGCCGTTCGC